CCTGGTTGGGGGGTGCCCCCAGCCTCTGACCATCTTTGTGGCCTTCTCTGGACCCGCTCCAACAGGTCCATGTCCCTCTTATGTTGGGGGCCCAGAGCTGGATGCAGCACTGCAGGGGAGGGGTCTCACAAGAGAGGAGCAGAGGGCGAGAAGCACCTCCCTTAGTGCAGTCTGAAGTTAGATATGGGAAACCTAAGAAATTAAATGTATTTATTCTTTCTGGATTTGGTCTTTAGAGTTCTTTTGATGCTGCAAAAGCTTTGTAGCAGAGAGTGATGTTCTTTCTCTGTATCTTTAATGTTGTGGCTATCAGCAGCTTTTTTTATCTCCCTGATGGGTAGGCAGCTGCTCTTGTAGGTAGTGCAGAATGCATCCTTACATATTTCATTTGTATTACAGAAACCTCATTAGCTTCTCATCTGAGTGCTTTCAGGGTGCTGGTATTGCTTCTAAAATCCTTTGAGACATGGGTCCTATTTTGGGTCTGATCTTCTGCCATTTTCTAAATATGCGTGGCTGCAGTCATCTGCGGAATCATCAGCTATTGGTGACATTCAACACAAATATTAGTGCAAAGGGCACTGATTTTACATTTATTGTCATTGCCCAGTAACACATATCCAGCGCTGCTTCAGCTGGGGAAGTCAGGGTACAGGCAGAGATCATAGGTCTTAATTTAATGAGACAGAAATGGTTGGCTTGAGTGTTTTAAGTTATTTAACTACTTTTATTGCGTAAGTAATCATGTCATATACTTCTGTGCATAAGAAATGTTACGTAGGAGCTAATTTCCACAGCAGATGAAGTATTCTTGGTTACTAAGAAAATAAAATATTTCTGCACGAATTCATTTTTTCAAAATGGAGAAATGCTCTTTCTCAAGCACGGAATAGAGAAGAGGGAAACGCCTCCACAGTGGAATCGGTAGTTAGAAAGCCTCATTGTCAGCTAAGCGAGTGAGAACTGGACCTCCGCTTCCCTGTAATGGCCTGACTGGTCTCATTTTCTTTTTCAGAACTGATAAACAAAACTGACTTGCTTAGTCTCAGTGGAAAGACTCTCCATGTGACAACAGGGTCAGCACCTGCTCTGCTCAGCTCTCCCGATGCTCTGCTCTGCCAGTATATCAACTTGCAGTTAATGAATGCAAAACCACAAGGTGTGTAGGATACTGATCTCTCCTCATTTACAGGCTGAGCTTTCTGTGATGCCCTTACTTACTGATGAAGATAAGTACCTTTATTTTCATTGGTAGATGGTGATTTTGTTTAGTTTTTCCTAGTAAGTGCTTTCTAATAAACACAATGTTTATATTTAGCTTTTCTCCCTCTTTTCAAAGGAGAAAAAGGAGAGACAGTTTGAGATAAGGGACAGCACTTAAACATGAGCCCTTCGGCATTGTTTTCCTGTTCCTGACCATCGGCTCACCTGTGCAGCTTATTTTAAAGGCTGACTCTAAAACTGACCAAAAATGAAGGAGGAGCCAGCTCTTTGCCAAGACATTGTAAACAGCCTGTGAAACATTTCTTTGTGCTATTTAAAAGTCAAATGAACTGTATTATTAACCTGATCTGGAAGATAGATATATGCATGCAGTATTGTTTCACAGCTGCTCATCTTGTAACTTCTACTCTGAAGCCTCACATAGGAGCAGCTATGTTGTTATAACTTGCTCATAATTTCTTCTCTGGTAGGAGTCCTTTCTAGACTGTGTCCATGTGGAAAATTATTGATGCTGCTGGTTACCTACCTGGGCCTAAAATGTGTTTTTAACTGGGGATCTGAGCTTCTGAAGCTGCTTTGTGAGCTTCTCTTGTTGTTAGCGGTTTGTGTTTCCTGTCAAAATACTCTGTTTCCTAGTCTCCACGTTATCCTGTTGCCCCATGTAAAGAATTCTGCAAAGTTTTCTTTTCTTTGTTAAGCTGTTAGTAATCGCTTCTGACTCTGTAGTTGACAAACTTATGTAGTGAATATCTGGAAGTAGGTTGGTATTGGTAATTGCTCAGCTCTGTGAAGAAACAGAGATGAAATGGAAGAAGAAATCCTAAATTTCAATTTGCAAGATAAATGAAATAATTTCATTCCTCACCAATAGCAATTCAACTGTTTATCCTGTTTAGAATGTCAGAAAGGAACAGTGGGAACTCTTCTAATGGAAAACCCCGTTGGTCAGAATGGATTAACATACCAAACTCTTCTACATGAAACTGCAAAAGTTTTTGGGCTCAGAAGCAGGAGGCTAAAATTGTTCCTGGATGAAGCACAAACTGAGGGTAAGCACAGACTTTTGGTTTGCTTGTCCAAGGATGAATCCTTGGAAGTTTTTGTTGAGGGGTAGCCTGAGATCTAGTTTAGTTTTCTAATTTTGCCCAATAAGTCAATATTTATTTAATGACATCCTTTAAGCACACACATACATTTAGAAATTCAAAGCTCTAACACATTCCCTTCATGAAATGGCCAAGGCAGGTTCTGTAAAAGCTTCTTCCCTTTGAAATAGAAAGGTCAGCCAGCAATGACAATGGTAGTTACGTGCTTCTGTGACTAAGCAGAGAGTGAATCTCCTCCTAGAAGGAAGTTAAAGTGTGAATTACTTAAGAACCTGTTCAAATTGTTCCTGTAACATTCTTATTGTTGCTGATATTATTTTTTTCTCTTCCTTTTGGAGAACGGGAGTGGGTAGAAGAGAGTGTTGGATCTATTTTAGAGTTGTGTGAGTAGGTCAGACTCGGTAGGGTACAGCAGCTGCAATTCATTCAGAATACCTGGGGAGTAGGAAGCTTTATCACATAGTCGCATATCTGAAATATTAAAGAATCTTCCAAAACCACAGACAGATGGTGAGGCTTAGAAACAAAAGCCTCTGATTCATGAGAAAGATAAGACTAAAGATGCAGCCACTTGTACTGCTAAAAAGTTGGACTTGAGAAAGGTTTGGGACATCATTTGACAGGAAGAATGGATTGGAAGCTACACAGCAGAAAAAAACCCAGGTATTTTTGTGTATTCAGGAAAATTCAGCTCTTCAAATGACATGATGCAAAGGATGCTGTCTCCAGTTTATCATAATAGCATGATTTACAGGCTTTTTGGGAGGGATACATGACACTTACCTAACGTGAGAAGTTCAGGTTTACCTGTCCAGAAGGGAGACATCTTGTTTAAACTAGTTATCTAATCCTAGGGTGGGATTAATTTCTTCTTGAGGTGCCTGTCAGGTGGTGAGGGGAAGGAGGAGTGTAGCTTTCTGGTGTAGCTGGCTAAAACTGGGGTCACTTAGCTATCCACCTGGGTCGAAGGGATTCAAATAGGAGAGATCAGAATCAGAGCAAGTAAGGTGTGGGGTTTTTTTGTTGTGGAGTTTTGGTTGGGTTTTTTTATTTCATGTGACCTGACCTCTGTTTATTCAAAAGCCATTTTTGTAAGTGAAATGGATCTCAAATGTTGATGAGACTTTCTCTAGTGATAGTTTGAGCTAATGCTAAAAATAACATGCTGAATGGTGTTAACAAACACAGAGAACTGGAGACTGTAGTGTTTAGAAACAGCACAAGGTGTAAGAACCAAGTCACCAACCACGCTTCATTTGCATAAACAAAACCTGTATTTATGTGCGAACCCTTGCTGACTAGGAATTCAGCCATTCAGGCACAACCCATGTTATTTCTTTCTTCTGTCTTGGTTTCTGTCATTGTCACAGGGCAAAAACGTTCACAGCAGCATGTGATTTAGTTAAGATCCTAAAATAAATATTTTAGAAAACTTTTGATCTTTGAAAGAGGGAAGTAACTGACAAAACAGGAGAATTTATAATCTTTAAGTCTCAATTTACGTAAGGATTTTTAAAATGCCTTTACCTAAAAGGGAAATCACTCTAACATATTTGTAGTATAAAGTCTCCAGAACTATTTAAACTTTAAGTAAAACACATAAAGTGACAAGTCACGATGATGTGAAAGATAAAATGTGATAACTCTTCAAAGGCTGAACCAACTGCTCTGGTCTTTTTGGGACTCAGAATGTAGAGAACTGGGTCCTGGAGGTTGATTTGTGTAGCTAACACATGCTTATGCCATATAGCTGTGATTCTGCTATCTCTGATTTAATTCTCACCATGCAGCTCTTTTATTAATATGTTTTAATTGTATAAACACGGAAGTGGTTGTACTTTATCTTCAAATCTCTTAGTGATAAATAAGTGCTGCATATAAAACAAATATTTTGATGCCTCTGGAAAACATTAGGGCAATTAATGTTTGTGTATTGGTGCAACTTTGTAATCCCCTATGCATCTTTTGATCAGTGTATTTCAAGGTCCTACCTTCAAAACAAAAAACATTCAGTCTTTTGAGCAGGGTTTTTATGGTTTATTCTGAAAAATTATTTGCTGTTAACCATTTGAAACGTTTGATGAAAATAATCTCTGAATTGGAGTGTTGACACCTGTTTTAGAAAAAGGAAAAAAAAAATCACTCTGAGGCAAATGAGTTATAAGTTTTGAAACCATTATTTTATAAATGTTGTCAGGTGCAGGCAGTTGGGCGTCTGCTGTCTATTGCACAAAAGCTTGCCAACTTTTCAGAAACAAATGTGTTTTTCACCCCCCTTTGGATTACTGGAAAAATATTCTATAAATAAACATCAGTGGTGAGTGTTGCTTATTCATGAGATTGAAACACGAGTTACAGGTAGTTGATTCAGAGACACGTTTGGGATGAAGGCAATGATTCTTAATGTGCTGACTTCAAAGCCCTCCCTTGGAAGAATTGGCCCGGAAGGGAGGATGTCCTTGCACTTTGTTGATAAGTCAAGTTTCCAAATTCTACTAGTAATTATTGTCTTAAATACTGTTGAAAATAGTATCTTAATCTAGTTCCTAATTTTTCAGGTTTTTAAAAATAATTAAAAAAAGACTTTGAGACCAGGTTTGTAGTTTGTTTGGCTGCTTCTGCAGACCAAAATAACTTTTTTTACATACTGATGTAACATTTACATGGGGAGGGAAGGAAGCTTAATGAGGGAATAAAGCCCGAATTGCTGAATTGGATTATACCTTCGCTCTTGTAGTTCTGTAAATAGATACTCAGCTGCTTACAGCAGAGCACTACACTGGACAAGAACTCCTTAAAAACAGTACCATCGTGATCCATAACGGCTTCACAATTATTTAATTAATAGATGGCTTTTAAACTTTGATGCAGACTATGTTTGCTCAGTCTAAAAATGAATTTTTTCAAAGAAAGATGGGGGCCTTAGTGTTAAAGGGAGCATGCGTGCTGTTACATGGAAAAAAAGCTTCTTGCTGCCATCTCTAGAATTGGTTTTCACTTGGACATCATGTTACTGAAAACTAAACTGCTTTTGCATTATCTCCATGGATGCACTTCGCAGACTTGCCTCCCCCACCACACACGCAGTGCCTTGGTGGCTGTCAGCTGGAGGGGAGCCTAAGTCAGAGCAGCGTGAATATCAGACGTCAGTCCTGTGACACAGTGCAGTACACTACGGAATTGTTTCTACTGGAAAAAAACACCCAGCCATTCTGAATGTTATTAATCTGTCATTTGTGCTAACGCTAGTGCCAACATTTAAAATTATCTTTTATTTGCTGGGGTTGTCTATAGGGAGTCTAGTGCGCAGAGTAACACCGCAACCCCCTGATATTCTTTTGCTTTGGTTTCAGTGGATGTATTTGTGGTTACCACTTTGAAGTTTCTTACCACTTTGAAGTTTCTTAGTAAAAGTAAAGAGACCTCTGGTCTACTTGTTATTCAGATTACTTTTGTTCCAAAGCTGTACCTCCCCAGTATTCAAAACAATCTGCTCTGTTACTGGGGTGGCTTGCTACGGCTGGCGGGCACTGGGAAGCGTTGAGCCAGCAAGCTTTTTGGGAAAAACACTTCGTAAGGTAGCAAGAGTAGTGAGAGGTTCCCAGTTCCCTGACTTTGCAGGTGTCTCTTTTGGGAGCCACAATTAGTCTGGGTTTGTGCTTCATAAATAATTATAAAACCCTGAGTTGGCCTGGTGGAAACATGCTACATCCTTAAAAGAGATTTGTTGGTGAGGCTTCATCCTATTACTGTTCCAAACTGTGTGTGTGTAGCTGTGAAAAGACTTCAGGAATTGATCTGGCATGGTATGAAATTCTTTAGGTGTACTTCACAAGACTGCAACACTAGTTTTTCACCAGATACTACTGCAATCCTTGCTTTACATATAAAACTCAAGTGAATGTATGCATGCTCTTATTCTTTTACTCCTTCCCAGGTTTGTCATCTTCTGTCAGAGATGCAGGGTAGAGGAGATGGATCTCTGTGTGGCTGTTCTTACATCGTGTACATAAGGGACTCTGGTTTTCAGTGCCTTGTGTTGTATTGTTAATATTGACTTCACATCGTGGAGTTATAAAATAATTTTTGGATCTAGATATTATTCTGTGTGGATGTGAAGCTGGGAGCTCTGGGCTGACATAGGCTTTCAAAAAATTCTACTTTGTAACTTAGAACAGTGCCTTCAGCTCTTGCAGTGGCAATCCTGAGGTGTGGTGACCCTTCCTCTAATGCCAAGAGAGATTTTTTTGAGCTGAGCAGTTTCTGTCCTAGTCCTGTTTTGCTTGAAGCAGCAGAACTGTCTGAATAAAGAAAAAATGTGTTGGTAGATTTACTTGTAAGCAAGAGCACTAACTGTGTTCTGTTTCTCTCTTGTTTTCTTGGTTCAGAGATCACAAAGGACGTCTCCATGAAGAACCTGAACATGAAGACTGTGTATGTTTGTGTTATACCCACCACAGCTGAATGTTGAGAATTCCATTTTTATGAATAAGACAAATGTGGACTTTTTTCCACAAAAAATGAAGTCAAATTAAATTAGTATGCTTTTAGATTAACATCCAAGTTGTGTTTGGTATTTTTAACATCTCGAGTTGCACACAGGATGTTTCTACCAGTGCATGATAATATGCTGCTCTTTGGTTTAAAATACAATGTATTTTAATTATGTTACCTTACGATACTGTAAAAGCTGTTCAGAAAAATGTTGGAACTCTTTAACCTTAGATATCTATGCAGTAATTTGCCTGAAAGAAATGGGACTAGTACCTCAGTGATGCTGTTCTCTGCCTGTCCTTTATGCAGAGGGCATCTTCGATTTTCTAAACCATGGGTTACCCACAAGGCTCTGTGATATATATACCACGTTACAATAGTGTGTGGCTGTTGATTTCAAATACTCCCTAATTTCAAGACTTGGAACAATAAATTTGCTTCATCTCCAAACTCTTGTTTCCCTGAGTGCAGAGTACTTTGCTTCCTCACATTTTCTAAAGAAGATAATGCATAGCACACCACATAGATCAGGAAAACCTAGAGAAACCTGAAATCTGAGAATATCCATGCTGAATGCTAATGACTGTTGGGACTGTGATACTGGCAAGTTCTGGGGATTTTGTTTGGTTAGGGTTTTGGGGGGGGGCTTTAGATTTAAAAGCAGTTTTAGACTGAAATTAGCATTGGCTTTTTAGTTTTTATAATAGTCAATACAACTAGACAAACATTTTGGTGTTGAGTATCTGTAGGCAAGTGAAATGAACAGGCAACCTTCTTTCAGTTTGAGGATGGTTTTTGGCTAGTTAACTCAAACTAGACTCTTAGGCACACTGAAGTTTCACTGCGTTTCAGTAGTGTTGTTAAGCAGTGTTGAAACTCGCTGTTGTACAGGATACAGGATGTGTGCATGCAGCTGCCTTCACTGCTGTGCCTTCATTAGCTTCCTGAGAACAAGATTACGCACGCTGCAAACCAGTAATAACGGAGAGTAACACTGTAAGAATAACAGTCTTGCTTAGCATGTTTTTCCATTGCGCTATGTTTTTCATCTTTACACTATGAATATAAACCAAAGCTTTTTTGTGATAGCACTATGTTAGTGGGAATAACTATAAATAAATGTTCTGTGTAACTGCTGTGCTCTAGTGGACCAAACCAAAATTGTAAATACTCTTTTGAGGTAAATCAAGTCTCTGGAGTTCAGCTTACATAAAATTATTTTTATCCATATTAAAAATGTCAGAGCCTGAATCATTGGCCAGCTCAGTTTAATGAAGATTGGATGTTGCCCTCTACCTTTCCCTGTAAGTCAGCTTGCTTATCATCTTATTGACATAGTGACATGAAAATCAAATTTGTATTGATTTTTTTTTGTCACATTAAAAATGTCCAGGTTATGTCTTCTGTGAAGGTGAGATTGCTGTTCCTTAGCTGAATAACTTTGCTTTATTATTTATGGAGAATAAATGAAGATGGCAAATGATCACAATCTAACATTCTTAATGAGACAATTGAAGGGGACAGCATTACATGCATTTTTAAAGAGTTATTAGGGATTTAGCATTTTGTGTTATGTGTAATTTTTTCTTTCTAAGGATGTTGGCTGGCCAAGTCCTGTGTAAGGACTGGATTAGATTAAATATATGCTTTCCAGTGAATTAGAAGTCCAGATAAGATTTATTAGCTTGCTTGGAGTGAGTTACAAACAGAAAAAGATAATCTTTAACAGAACCTTTTTTCTTTCTCCAAATATCCTTATGGCTGCTTAATGTCAAAAATAATCTGCCCTTAACAGAAGAAATACTTCTTGTGACCTTAGTCCAATAATCTCATACTTCACATGAGGTATAGTTGAAAAAAAGTCCTGGACTTTCTTTAAGTAAATGACTGCTTGATGCTGAAAAGGAAAACTGGCCTTTCCCTTGACTTATACATGAACTTTCTCTGTGTAGATGTTCTGCACAATAGCACTGCCTGTTAAAATATATGAAGGCATGCAGATAAAACTTACTGTCAGAGGTAAAGGATTTAAGTTATTTACTCACAGGAAAGGGGTGGAGGAAAAATATTGCTGGTAATTTTCTATGTGTCCCTTAGTTCTTCCAGACCTATGCAAAGGCAATACCCTTTAAGACAGTTAGCAAAGACCGCACTTTATTTTCATAGACCTGAAATTAGTCTAGTTAGTTTGTGCATGAGGCTGCACGAAGGTTGCTGTATTCACATAGAATGTTTTCCTGTGGGTTTCTAGTCTTACCACAAAAAATCAGACAAAATATGGTCAAAAAGATAGTGGAATGTTGAACAGTTTTTACGGAGTCTCCACAGTGTAGGTACAGAGTGACCTGTAATGTAACACTTGTACTCAGACACTGCTTTAATGGAGGGATGCTGCCTACCTGGCACTTCACATTTGAATACATAGGGATGTCTCCTAGATTTGTCTGAATGTTATCTAGTTGCTTTTCTTTCATTTTAGAAAAATACTGATATATTCATACCGCCTTAAGTCTGTCTTTAGAGAAGTTGACCCAAGAAATCCTTCAGTAGGATCTGTTTTTCTTTTCCAAATAAGGCTTGAGAAAAATTAGAGAAGGAAGATATTTTACAGTAGATGTACTCTGTAGGGCATTCAGTGTAAGCTGCATTACAGCTGTAGTCTCTCCATGTAGCTTGATAATGCCTTTTTTCTAAGATACTGATTCTTCAAGCTGAAGTGGGTGGTATACACAGAGTTATGCTGTTTCTTTCCAGGGTTATGGACCTAATTTCCAGGGTTAGAAATAGTGTGTGGTGCTCACTGGTGCTTCACTTGTCCTGCTTCACCTCAGTCTCCTTTTTTGACTGTACACACTTCTCTTTCTTCCTTTTTCCTTCTTCCTTTTCCTTTCTTTGTTTTTTTGAGGGAGTTTTTTTGTGGTTGTTGGTTTTGGGGTTTTGGGTTTTTTTGGGTACCTTGTTGCTCTTAGTTTCTCAGCTGTGGCTTTCTGTCCACATCCACAGACTCCTCATGGGTTGCGATGGCTGGAACAGAAACTGAGGTGTGCCCTTGCACTCTCCAGTCTGATCGTATTAGAGGATGGAAATGCCCATAAATGCTACTTCTGTCTTTGGTAGGATCAGCAAAAGCTGGCAGAGGGGAAAATTCAATATGTTTAGAACAGATAATGGAAGAATGAGACCAGAGTTCATTAGAGGACACAGCTGAAAATGCTTCCGGGTCAGTTAACTTTACATCAACCCTCTACATGTAGCGAGTAATTAAAAAAATAAGTTTGTTGCAGAATTGTAGTTTAACTTTACTTTCAGCTGCTGCTCTGTTAGTTGGCTATGATCTCTTACCTCTAAAACATACTGACAGTGAACGTCGGGAACAAGTTGTGACCTATTTGGGTGAACTTGTGCTTTTTCTACCTTCCTTCTCCACATCTATTTTTAGTATTCATTTTTTTATTATTCTGGATAATACCTAATTATTTCTTGAGAATTTGTCTCATGGGATCTTGAAGTGGGGAATGTTTCCTACTAATTTTTTTATTGAGGTTTTTTAATGCACTTCTATAACCTCATCTAGGTCAGGCTAATAATAGTTTCTTGGCTTGATGTGATACTCTTCAGGATTTATATACTTCAATTAGCTTCCCTCTACAATAGCTTGTTATACAAATTAGGTCCCAGACCACCATTGCCTCTCTCCGCATAGAGACAAACATTACCTAGGCATTCACAGAGCTGTGTTACACTCTTTATTGTGCTCTGCGGGAGCTGGTATCCTTGAATTCTGATGGCAGCCTGCTGACCTTCTGCCGTTGCCTTTCACCTGACAGCAGCACAGCATTCCCGAACTCATTGAGATGTGTGCAGCATCCAGTGATCTGCAGGAGCTGGACTCTGAATGCTGAACCAGCTTTTCGCTGTCGGAGAGCTGTAGGCACTGAGACAAAATAGATCTGTTGTTACAGCTATATCCAGAAATCGTGGTGCTGTAGTTTAAAAAAGAGAAATTGAGACATCCTTCTGCCCCCACTGCCATGGCTTTGTGTGTGTGTCTCGCCCCCATTTCCCTTCCTTGTCCCAAAAACCACCTTCTTGGATCTGGGGAGGCTGGTTTGGGCTGAAAGTTCAAAGCCCAATTTGAGATCTATCCCATTCCTACCGGGTAGGAATTCACTAGCTAACCCTAATTAGCACACTTTAGCATATTTGGCAAAAGGGCCTGGCACTGACCAAGACTGGTGACAGGGTGACATCCTTGTCAGGCTTAGCCGAGATACAGCAGAAAGCTGTGTGGACAGTGCAGTAACAGGACTGTTCGTTCCCTGTTAGTGCAGTTTTCATCTTTCCTCAGAATAAATCAGAGTAGTGGTGGGTCAGGCTAGCTAACATCATGGCAATTTTATTTCCTTTTTCAACTGAATGTACAACGGACAAAAACTTGAATTTCTGTTTTGCTTTCATGCAGTAAAAAAGGAGTGGCTGTTGTTATCCTTCTGCAAGGAACTTCCAGAGAGAAGAATGGTTTTAAGGAGGGAAAAAAATAAATTGGTTTCTCCTCATCCTGTTGTAAGTTGAATAGCAGCTGATCAGCTGTATGGCCCTTTTTCAACTCAGAATCTCCCATTTTTCTGTCAGCAAAGGTGGAGTCTCGGTATCATTGTCATTTCTGGTTAAGCACAAAGCAATTATTCAGTATGTCAAGTCATTTTTTTTCTCTTTATCTGATTTCTTACAGGATAAAATCTTGAAACTGATTAAACATTGAAAAAATAATGTATGCAACAGTGTAACAAAAGGTGAACTTCAAAATAGTCTCAAATGGTTTCCTTTAGCATCTTCCATTCAAAGATGGAACAAAAGAGCAAGCAGCACAGCATCATCCATGCACGGAAGCAGCTTTCCTGTATGAACACTGTTTGCTGAGTTAATTTTACCCTTGCTGTGCTGTGAGTGGTGGTTAACTGGGGTTGGGGGAGCGTGTGTCTTCAATTATCTAATGTTTTCCCCAGTTAAAATGTTTATGTAACTAATATAATTATAGCTTTTATGTAATTGGGGGGGGGGGAAGGTTCCCATTTCAGTATGTCTGGGTATTTCAGTTAATTTCCAGTCTCTGTCTGTACAGAGGTCTAATTAGGGGTCACAGAGCTGCTCAGAGGACTTCTAAAATTCCTTGTAAATGCAATTAGAATACAATTGCCCCACAATATATTTAATTTTTTTAAAGACTTTTTCTGGGTCAGAGATAAGGGAGTTCCATATACATTATCCTAATTTAGCATTTTTTTCCAGCTCTTCTTAGTGTTCAAAACAGTGCAGTTGAAATCTCCGAAATAAGCAAAATGCACCCTGGCACTAAATGTTTGCTCTTTTTGATCA